GTGTGTGTGTGTGTGTGTGTGTGTGTGTGTGTGTGTGTGTGTGTGTGAGATAAGTATAGCAATGTGAGTGTGTGTGCATTCATATCACAGACACTGGCACATTTTGTACCAAATAGGAGAAAGCCAGACTGAAAGACAGAGATAAGAAAATGAGACTTCATGTCTCCAGATGGTGAGTGCGGAGGTGGTCAGAAACTCAGAGGCTCAGGTGTTATCTTCCCCATAGTATATTGGAGAGGACACTTCTGTTTGGAAGAGGTATGGGACCATACCATTAGAAGCGGAAAGGGCACTCTTCCTTTGTGTTACAACAAGAAGAGCACATCATCTAATACACTTGTGAGAATAAGGTCTGCTTTCACCGCTTTCTCCCTCTTCAGAGCACACAAGTATCTGTAAAGTGTCTTTGCCAATAGCTTCTATAGTGACGAAATAGCACAGATAATGCTTATTATCTCACTTCTGTCATCTATGCAGACCTTTATACTGTCGCTGTTTCTTGATTACTTATGTATTTTATTCTTCACATTATATAGCTAACTGTCATTCTTAATGCTAAGGCAGAATGTGCTGCAAACAACATTAAACGGTATCTGCCAAAACTGGTGCATGTTTATTTTAAATAAAGTGTTTAATAACTAATAAGAGACTACATTTTTACTGAGCGATCACAAAAACTAGGCGGGAAACTATGTAAGGGCTAGGCAGGTGTTATGCCATGTGCAAATACTCTGGCACATGCCCAATAGTTGGAGGGATGCCACCAAAAGTGAGATTGTTAATTAAATTTGATTTGATTGTTAATTAAATTGTAAATTAAATTGTCAATACTGGCGCCACTGGAAAATCAAAAAGCACATGTAAACCATTTAGAATATCATCCAAGGGTTTGTATGGTCTTAAATGGGATAATGGACCAGTGTATATATTTAGCCCACACATGTAATCTATAATCTATAATTTATGATAATCTAATTTCTGTTATAAGATATTCTTGCGATTGTTATGTTCCTTGGATTGTGAAAACAAGATGTTTTTTTCTTGTCTTGGTAAGAGTGCTCTCGACCACTCGTGAAATGTTCTCTTACCTGAGAAAAGAGCAAAAAACGAAGTGAATGTCAGCAATCAATGGGTACTAAACAAAAAAAGAACTGATTGTGAGTATAGTTTGTTCCTATAGCAGGCCCATTGTTGGTTTCAGTACTGCCTTGTACAGTGAGAAGGTGGACAGATCCGATGTGCTGTACTGTGGCTGCTACACAGCCTCAACATCTTCAGCACTTCTAATGCTGAACAGCTCCCCGCACAGTGGAGTAGCATACAGTAGTGCGTGTGTGTGTGGATGGATCATTGCTGAGACATCTGTATTGCCCTGTGCGTGTTTGTATATGCTTGTGTGGCCCCCGCCTTCCTTGTTTCCACCCTGCAGAAGCTGATTTGTTATTCCATTTAAATGAAGAATAGCTATTGTTTTTAATCAAATGGTAACCACGAGCCAGAGGGACATAAGCTGCCAACCACAGCCAGGCTGATTTACACTCCTGTTCAGTTTTCCTCTCTCTGCCCTCCCTCCCTCTCTAATCTTCCGCTCTTCTCCTAATTCTCCTTATATTGCTCCCTCTCTTATGCTTTTGCTTCCTCTGACTAATTCAACCACTCGCTTCTCCATCGCTGTCTTGTTGTTGTTGTTTCTGCCACATGTCCTCTCTGCTCCACTTCTTCCTCCCTCCCTCCCCTCATATAATCTTTCTCCCTCACTTGCTGTTAAATCTGTCCGTTCCTCCACTTGAGGAGTAATGAGACAACAAAAGTGTCAACTCCTTTTCAGGCTCCATAATTATCCACACCTCTTTCTCTCGCTCTCCGTCCACCTTTCTCCATCTCCCTCTTCTGTTCACATATTAAATCTCTCACTTGTGATATTGAAATGATAATGAACTGGATTCGTCTTGTTGGGAAAAAATCATGTCATTGTAACCCTACTGTCCCCTGAAGTACTGGGCCGTTACTTATTAAGATGATTTTAATGTAAAGTGTCTTTGAGTACTATGAAAAGCGCTATATAAATAAAATGTATTATTATTATTAAGATTAAGATTAGTATTTTGCAACAAATTGCTTGACAAGATTAATGTTTTTTTAGATTAGATACAGTAAATATTGAATTCAAAATACACTATTTTAAGAAATGATTCTTGTTTGAGGAAAAACTTAAATTGAGAGTAACTCCATAATAATTGTTGTTGATAAAAGTTTAACATTATGATTTCCAGGAAATTATGTCACAGTTTTTAGAAACAGCCTTTTTGGAATTGATTCAAGGAACAGTTGTGTTAGTGAATATTAGCTAAAAGTACTAAAGTAAAGTAGCTGTTACTGCGCGTACCACATGGTCTTGAACATGGTAGTGTTTTGTGTTCCCATGATTGTCCTTAAGATAAATCACATATAATTACTTGTCAGTGTAAGTGATATCAGGTATTTCAACAATTGAATGACTTCTGTTTTACTGGATGTGTTTTTAGCTGGTGGAACCTTTAACACCGAGTGGAACTGCACCCAACCAAGCCCAGCTTCGCATCCTGAAGGAGACAGAACTCAAAAGGGTCAAGATTCTCGGGTCCGGGGCCTTCGGGACTGTTTACAAGGTAAAATGCACAAAAAAATGAAATAATAATAGTAATAGTTTCAGGTTGTGCTTGAATGAATGCTCAAGTAGAGATCATGATGTGAGATCGTGAACAAAAATAGGAGGACAGGAGAGACGAATTGCAGGATCGTTAATGACAGGAAATGAGACGGAAGGCTGGAGGCGTGTGATGAAAAGAATAAGTAATAGCAGACACGGAGACCCCTGGGGTTACAGTGAAATAAAGGGTATCTGAAGTCACCATCAGTGTGATGATGTGTTGGCGAGAGGTAGAAAAAGATACAGCTGAAATTATAAAGACCAGACTCTCTCACTGAAATCATCATTGGTCAATTTGTAGAGCCATCCATTCACAATATAGCACATTTATATGTCACAGGTATGGTAGCCGAAGCACAGGTGTCCTTTTTCCAAATCAATATCTTGCACATTTCCTTGGGGAATCTCCGGGCATCTCTAGGCAAATAAGAGTATATTGTTCATTCTGAGTTTCAGAGGTGAGCACTAGGACCAAGACAGTTTTCCTTGGTGGCCTTCAGCGAGCTACTCAGATATCCTCCTCTGGATCCTCTTGAGGAACAGTTAGTTGATTTTGAGATCTTATCAGTCAGCAAGATATCCTACCTTCAGCAACTTTATTGCTCAATATTATTATGGTACAACACAGAGGCCATGGGTTGTATAGAGGGTAAGCATCCAGGCTGACTTGAAAATTGAGTGTTGTACTTTGCAAAACTTCTCTTTTCACCAAAATGCCTCACTCTCTCTTTACACAAGCTCTATTTGTTGAGCTGCTAACGTTTCTGTTTTCTTTGTATTTTGTGTTTTACTGACAAACGCACATGTTAGCACACAAGACGTAGTGCGTAGCAAGCCAGAGACAATGAACAGGTAAAAAAGGAATCGGAGGATAATTAACCTGAACTGGAATTTCTCTCAGAGATCGGCCAGATCTGTTGCAGCGTAATACGTCTCCTGAATTCACACTATTTCAGAGTTGACGGCAGTAACTTGTCGAGAAACAAGGTAAAGCGCCTAAAATGTGGGGAAGAATAAGATTGCAAACTGAGGTTTCAAAATATTCTCAAAATCTGCATTGCAAATGTTATTATGGACGAGTATTTTATTCGGAATAAAATACATTTTAGAATGCAGAAAATGGATTTAGGTGGGAAACACTGCATTTAAACTATGTTATGTGATCACTTCAGAGGGTAGCCTTAACTGGTAATCAGTCCAGTTTTTCATCATTTGTAAGACCCCAGGACTCATTTCAATCCTCACCTGGCAGAGTTGACCAATCGACCCTTGACGTGGAAGTGGATATAGTGCTTGTATTGGGAGGAGTTGTCCTTAATGTCACGTTGAGCTCCAAAGCAAACCTGGTTTACAATGGACAATGAATTTATTAATGGGACAATCTGGAAATATTCAGTCTAAGTAGGCCTACTGTAGCAATTAGATAGAGGAATATTGCTGAAATCCTGAGATGTTTACAAAACAACCATGCTAGCTAGGACATAAATGTACAACATTACATATCCCGAATGCAGTTAATATGAGTAAAAATAGCAATTAATTCTGCTAAACATCCACCTAAGTGTGGGTAGATGGACTGTTTCAAAAGGAGGCATCACATTGGAGTTACAGCTTTGGGAGGACAAGTGTTTTAACTCTATGAGCAGAGGTGTTGGTCCTTCTGTCACTGGGGATGTGTAGTCACATCAGGGCAGAACAAAGGTGGAACACATTTAGAAAAAGTTGAGAGGCTCTTTATTTCTCTCCTCTGTTAAATGCTTTGGCCACTTTGGCAGCTGCTTAATCACTTTAATCCCACCTGAAATTGGATACTTCAAAATGATTAAATAGTTTTGCCCAAGTCTTTTTGAAGGACAAAATCAAAGGTAATCATACAGCATGCAGAACATCTCATAATCTGCCAGTGAGACTATGGAAGATGGTTATTAAGACAGCTGACAAATTCAAGGTGAAAAATCCTTAATTTATTAGTTGAGATTCCTCCTGTTCAAATCTTTAATATGTTTCGCTTAATAAGATGTTTGGTGACTTAGTATAACGACTAATCGTTTGTGTTTCTTTAGGGTATTTGGATCCCAGAGGGTGAAACCGTGAAGATTCCTGTCGCCATTAAAATCCTAAATGAGGCTACGGGACCCAAGGCTAACGTGGAGTTCATGGACGTGAGTATCTCGAAAACTCCCAAATTAAACAGAAGAAAGAATAAATGACAGTTTCTTCTAGTTTTCCATCAGCTGAATTGTATATTTTATGAAATGTTGCCATATTAACGCATTACAAGCCATGTTTGGTTAGGTCAGTCCAACAGATACAACATATACCTATCAGGGCACTGTTGCATTGGTGACTTAACCCTGTGACCTGTTAACTGTCTTATTTGGCCAGATTGAAACCACTACTCAGTGACTTTTGAATCACCTCCATTGATGGAATGACGCTCTTAAGAACAAAGTTTAGACTCCAAAGACACCAGAGGAGAAACCATCAGGGGCCCCTATACACACCCACACGCACGCACACGCACGCACACACACACACACACACACACACCTACACACCTACACGCACACACCATGCCACAGGCACCCAGCCCAGTGCAAGAGGCCCTATTTAAAAAATATTCACAGCACGGCTCATTTCAAAAGGAAAATTAAAAAAAGGAAATTATCTCCCTATGATGATGCAATGTAGATGAAATATCCTCCATCAACACACGCACACATACAGAGGCAGGCGCTCGTGTTTTGCACTTAGTTTGACAGTCTAAGAGGGAGAATTTTAGAGTGTTGGCTTTTCTATTTCTATCAGGACATCTTTGATGAACATTCTTTGTGTGTTTAACGTAATGCTCTATGCGTTTTGAGGGCTTGTCTGGCATTCAAGAGAACCAGTTATCAGTGATGACATGATGTTGGGCTTTACTGTAGAAAGAGGGATGGAGATGTGAAACTCTAAATATGCATTTACCAGCAAAACATGCATTTAAATACTATAAGTTGTCCGATGTATGCATGTCTCTACATGTGTGCGTACCATTACATATAGCCAGCTTCTCACCCCTAGTTCTCCATCCAACTCACTCAGATGGGGTGACAGAATATAAACGGTAAATTAACTTATTGTCACGGGTTATCGAAGGTAGACACCTTCCTGGGCTGGGGGAATTCAGTCTAGTGATCTTCTAGCTGCAGGCCACATTCACTTGCCCACCGACTGTTTGAAGAAGTCACCGAGAATTAATCATCATTCGATCCGTGTTTGTGTGTTTGGTGTATGTTTGTTTCCTACTCCTTACCTGTGGAGCACAAAGAGGAGGGAAGTTATTCTATCAAATGATCCAAAGATGTTTGGCCCAGTTAATAATGCCAACACCCCCTTCCTGCTGCCAGTGTCTAACAGGAGGGGAGGGTGTCAGTACCCAGCAATTATTGTCATACGTGTATGTGTTTGCAAGTGCGTAAGAGTGTCTATGCTTATGTGTGTATGTATTCACAATAGTAGCTAAAGGCAGAAAGGGCATGTTACAGAATGTTATTTCTTTGAAAGCCAAAATCCTGCTCAAAGCTTGTTTTGTTCTGTCAGTGCACTGTGGACACATACTGTGTTAAGTACTATTATGTATAATGTATAGTTACACAGAATAGATGGTCTATATATTGTGTTTGGTCGTGTTTTTGTATCATTTGAATAATAGATTGCGTATGTTTGTATGATACTACGATCGTATTCTTGCAAACTAATAATAATATTTTTTCTTATTCTAAAACTGCCGCACTTAAAGATGTTGACACTGCAGGCAAGTTCAAAGCTCTATTAATAATGCACTGGAGCTGCTTCTTCATATGGACATTACTATACAGTAGCGTATTCTCTAATAGACACTTCAGACCAAACCAGTGGAAAGACAGAACTGCCTGTTAAAGGACAGTGACAGATGATTTACAGCAATCTCACCTTGGTGTAGTTGCTACATTTTTAGTCAACTGCAAAGCATGCTGACAGTCTTGTGAAGCATTGAGTCACTTTGATGTTGAGGTTATGAATAAAAACCAGCTGTTTCTTCGGGAACCTTGCTGCTTGCTTCAAGGGGAACTTCAGCCTGAAAGAGAATAAGGGATCATGTGGTCTTTTACACTTCAGTCTACACTTGTAAACAAGATAAACTTTGCCAGTGGGGTTAAGTCTTTGAACGATAGCTCCTGCATTTGTCTTCTGACACTAACTGAAAGACTACCTGCTTGGGCACAATACAAAACATTGTTAATATGGTACTTCTATGTTCCCTTGTTCTGAATATGCAAAAAGAAACACAATCTAGTTAGTGACAAATTCATCAAAAAAGAAGTGTAAGTGTGTTTTGTGACCGGATTTCATGTACAGCTTTATCCAAATAAGGACTCAAAAGTATCTAAGATCAAAATAACTAAATTACAGAAATGTATTTTCTGTTTGTGTTTTGCTGAAACAGTTCATTGTTGCCTGAAGTGAACAACACTATAGCATCTGTTGACAGACCATTTCAGATGTCAAACTCTCAACCCTTTCCCCCCCCCCCACATGCCTGAGTGTATATCTGTCTCATTCAGGAGGCCCTGATCATGGCTAGCATGGAGCACTCCCACCTGGTCCGCCTGCTGGGTGTCTGCCTGAGTCCCACCATCCAGCTGGTCACACAACTGATGCCTCATGGGTGCCTGCTCGACTATGTCCTCGAGCACAAGGACAACATCGGATCCCAGCTGTTGCTCAATTGGTGTGTCCAGATTGCCAAGGTAAGGTTTGTGAAAGTTTCTATATAGTTGTTATCCTCGCTGTATGGTTGATTGGTTTGGTAATTGGCTGGTTGCTTGGTTAGGTATTTGGCAGGCTGGTGGATTGGCAGATCAGTAAAGGCTTGTTTTAAGTATTGATTTTGTATTTTATTGGTAAGTAATGAATATTGATTGATTTTGTTGCCTTAACAGTTTTTTATCAGTGGATTGTCGTCACTGATTGCTGCTTGTTTGCTTCCTTGACTGCACCAAATATCTCAATGAGTCATACGTGATGTTTTGGAGTGTTGGTGGGCCATTGGCCCCTCAGTTGATCTTTACTGCAGACTGTGTATCATGCACTGCATACTTCAGGATTATCCCTCATCCCTTTTTAAATCTTACTGTACAAGTACTTGTGTTTGCTTTGGATTACATGTACACCCAAATCTACTGAACCATCCGCATGCCCTTTTGTGTGTCTCAGCTAAAAGAGGCCAAGTGATTCACTCCATTGCTTCCAGTGTGAACAGCAGATGTCTGCTGATATTTGGTAAAGTGTCCGTGAGTGTGTGTGCTGGTGTGTGTGGAGGATTCAATAGCAGACAGTGGTGCCCCTTGCCAGCCTCTCTGGAGAACTGAAGTAAATAATTCAAAGCCTAGCTTGATTTTGGTGGTGTTGAGAGCAAGGAGCTCAGTGTTACAGGATAATCGATTTAGGAGTGCATTTTAATTTGTTCTTATATATTTGTCAATATTAATAGGGGACAGATACACCTTTTAATTAACCTATCTCCCTTTGTCTGACTGTCTGACACAGAAATCACCACAGAGTTGATTAATTATCTGACTCTGTATAACAACGTAACACCACCTGAGCATTATGAGCAAACAAATTCATCTATTGATTATCAAAAGGTATTTTTTGCAAGGCTGTGGTATTAGATTGCAGTGAACCTCTGTATATATCATGTGATATAATTATGTCTCCGAACATGCTGCATTTGACAGATGGCTGATGAAATTCTCATACACAGAGAGCAAAGTAATTGGTTAAAAAGCCAAGAGAAGCAGAATGAAAATGACTAAGCAGTTGCTGTAGTCCCAGATTTAATATCTTAGACAAATATTTCTGTTGCTCTTTTTGGCTAAATCAGAGGCAAGCTGTACTCTAATGAGCTTCCATAGGAAAATATGAAAGCATCAATTAAACTTTGGTTCACAGTTATGATCACACCACATAAAGTGTTTTTTTATATACCAAAGGCGGTCAGATCATGAATACATTATTGTCGTGCTGACGAAGTTCCCATGCTGTGTAACACAAACATTTTCATAGTATGGAATTAATCACACAAATTACTTTGTGGAAAAAGGATGTAGATCATTTTTATACACATGAATAAATATTTGCCCGCTGTGAACAGTTGTCAACCTGGTGGGATGTATAATTCATAAAGGGTAGATATGAGGTTGTATTATTTACCATTGTTATTCTGTGTCTCAAGTGAGTATTGTTTAGTGTGTTCAATAATTGGCTACAGCTCCTGGGTACTCAAATAGCCATCAGGGGCCAGGTTTAATAAGGTGCCCACATATGGGTTCATGCTCACAGAAGCATTTATCTGAATATGCCAAAAAGGTGAATTAGGACTACAATCAACATTTCCACTTGTAGTTCTCATAATAACTTGTCCCATGCTTGAGTAAAACATATTTCCTGCATATAATTTCATTATCGTTATGATGGATATATACATCTATACTCATGCAGGGTCTTATGGGGCTCTCAAGGCTTGCAAGTGACAGGGCTCCACTGTCTGAGGCAACATCCCTGTGGCCCTCCCACTCTGTCATGGCCGCCGTCACAGCCATAGATTATTAATGGGCTGATCTGCCATGAGAGTCGTACTAATGAGCAGATTCATTAGAGCTACTACGCATGCAGGGCTCTGATGCCACAGAGTGTTATTCTTTTTCTGCTCCTTGGATCTGATTTTTTGTTTTTTATCACTTTCTCCTCATTATGCCTGGTTGCTTTTTAAATCTCCTCCTAGTTCACCAACTCTGTGGTCCTCTTGTTCATATATACAGAGTAGTGTTGCTACAATGTCAGATGTTTGACTTTGGAAACACTACCGTACAAAAAGTGATATATCAAAATATGACTCCACTGCAATACAGTGGGAAGAAAGAAAAACATCAAACGGATCAAGACAACTCCTCAAGTAGCCTGACACAAATTTGTCAACTATTTCAGAGGAAGGGAAATCCATTTGAACGCATGGTACATTTTTGTCATTTGGTGTCTTGATACCACTTTTAATTCCTGATACCAGTACCAAAATGCTAAAGTATCTGTCGATACTGCTCCAACAACAAAAGAGACAGAAAGAGGGGAGATGAGAGGTACCACTCTGATAACAATACACATTTCTTCTTTAATATGTATATATTTCTACTAAGCTGTAAACAAGCCAAGTAACAGACATGTGCTTGGCATTGTCCTGCAAAATGATAAGCATTTGACTGTACTTAAATTTGCAATGTGTTAGCACCCCCTCTGTTGCTGCTACAATGGATTCCCTCATTTATGAGCCATACAACTTTTTATCTGGGGCAATGCTTTTTGCAAGCTTGAATCAATTCAGTGTGCAGTCAGAGTTAGTAACATATACACAGGAGACACATTTGTGTTCAACAAATTAGCTTTAAAATGGTACTGTGTACTGGTATGATGTTATCACACAGTGCAATACAAATACAACAATTAAGTGACAATCTGTCACTTAATTTAAATTCTCTGATGTTTGTCGGTTTTGTAGTCCAATCTGAACTAAAAGCAGATTATCTGTTTTTGAAAAGAATGCCAGTTGAAATAAGACACAGTTCAACACAACGTAATATGTTTCAGAGTCAGTTTCATCTGCAGTCTAACACAGTTAATTTGACAATATTGCCGATATACCAGTAATTGCAGTTATAATCTTCATGAAAATGGAACTGTGGCTGTAAGGCACCCTTTAATAATACATCACATTATTTCTTTCTTTGAACTAGTAGAAGAGATGCCAAAAGATACAGCAGAAGAGAAGTCATATCATTTGCCGCATTCGCATAAGTTGTACATAACAGTGATGGTTGCCATCGCAATTCATATTCTTGATAAATATTTAATGTGAACCCCACGTATTCTGCCTTTGAAGGAGAACTCGGTGTCCCGCTACCTGTGAGACTTGTTTCGGAATGATGCATCATAACCATATCAATACAGCAGCACTGTTTAAACAATCTCAGCTACATGGCAGGAATACCTCATCGAATCACGCTTTCCAGAAAATCTTTCCTACCCCCCCTCCCGCCAACATTACTGCTTTGGATTTCCTCCAAGCCAGGTGTTGTGGTGGTTGTGTGTGTGTGTGTGTGTGTGTGTGTGGTAAGAGGGCCCACAGTGTGTATCACGGGGTCATTTCTCTGTGTAAATCTGACTAGGCAAACATGCATTTCTCCAACTCATCATATACATCCCCAGGGTTCCAATGAAAACTCAGTTCATTCCTATTTCCTTTCTACTATGTCTACTCCCCTTCTCCCGTCTCTCTGTTGGTATTTCTTTTTGTATGTGATTCTCTTATTTTAGTTTTTCTCTGTCTTTCTCTGAACATTTAATGTAATAAGACTTTCCATTCCAATCTATTGTTGGTACAAATAGTATGCTATCACTATTTGTATGTCAAGTAATAAGGCAGGGTTGACTTTGACTTGATTTCTGGACCGCTGTGATAAGCCACCCACTGGCCAATAATTGCATTTTCCATTGTCTTTGTATGACCAACCTCTACCAGTGCTTCCTGTTAATGCTGAATAAGGTTGCCAAAGATTTATATTGTGCTGTAAGGCAAGCCCACCACGTTTTTTTGTTGAGGCTTGTTTGGATATATTCAAGGAATACATTTACTATGTCGCCTACCTAAATGGGACATAGTTAGTTTTTTGCTGACTTGTCAGGCCAGGAGTAAAATAATCAACATGTACAACTTTACGGGATAACAATTCCACCAGGACACAATTTTCCAAGGGCACTATTTAGCTCAGGGCAACTCTGGTCTGCCCTTGAGTTATGGTGATTACCTTAATAAATTAAAATTACTGCAAGGTTTTCTGTTTTTTTGTCAATCAATGAATGTTGATTTAGGACACATTTCCCTTGATGCAAGAACAAGGAATTCCAAATTAAAAATGTACCTTTTTTATCTCATCAATTAAAAGCATTATTACTGTGTTGTTTAAATGATTTAAGGTTAAAGTGATAGGCAGAAAATATGTGAAACAATCACGCTTTTCCAGCAATAAACCATCCCATGTTTTCTGAACCAATATCCATCTCACTTTTGTCTGTTTTACAGAATACCCATGTTGGTGTGACTACCAACCAACTTGTACTTGTGAACAAACTCTCCTTCCCCTCTCTTCTCCCACACTCGTCTCTTGTAGAAAACACTTAAACTGCATTCCGATGTTTGATTCCAACGAGCACTGGCAGATAGCATGCCTGCTCCAACACTGCATGTTAACACACGGAGCGAGAGGCAGATCACAGGCGTCTAGCCTTTGATGCTACCAACCATTAGAAATGTCAACAAGTGTCCACTATCCCCTTGCTCTGTCTCTCGCTCTAGTTATCCCTCTCTTTCATTTCCAAACTAATTAATTCTGAATCTTTTTTGTGGTGGTCTTTCATGACTGCATAAATAAGTGTATGATCCAATGTTAGCAGCTAGAACGCTTCCCTTCCCCTGGGCCTGAAAGGCTCTGTTTGATTTGAGAGAGCTGCTTTATGCATGTTGTCATCAGTTGCAATTTTCATCAAAGTGGAGGGCTGACTAGGTAGAATTTGTACATTTCATTTGTTGTTTATGTAAGTGGTATTTAAGCACAATGCTTTCATCAATATCATGTTGTTGAAGTTGTGAGGAAATCCATGTTAAAAATAAATGCTAATTGATGCAGGGAATTTAATT